TGCTGGCTACGAAACGACCAGCAGCTCTCTCACTTTCTTGTCTTACAATTTGGCAACAAACCCTCAGGTGATGAAAAAGCTGCAGGAGGAGGTGGATGCAACCTTCCCTAACAAGGTACGTGAGAAGTGAGAACATCTGGAACTGAACAGCAGTCTTAAAGTGAGAAAAACCTTGCTTTGATGAGATCCCACTTTACTCCAGATTTAGGCTTGACTCATCTCCCCTTTAATGCAAACACACATCCTGATTTATACACGAAAATCCATCCATCCATTTCCCTCTATCCAGTTTAAGATCGTGGGGTGATGGGGGCTAATCCAGCTGTCTCAGGGAGCTGTGATAGCCAAGGAGGGTTGCAAAGTTGTGTTAAAATCATTTCACAAAGACACAATAAACACAAGCTTCATTTGCAAACAACATAAAAAGTTCACAGAAGAAGAAGTCAGCTTTTAACAATGGTAAATGGTAAATGGCCTGCATTTGTATAGCGCTTTACTTAGTCCCTAAGGACCCCAAAGCGCTTTACACTGCATTCAGTCATTCACCCATTCATACACACATTAACACACTGGTGATGGCAAGCTACATTGCAGCCACAGCTGCCCTGGGGTGCACTGAGAGAGGCGAGGCTGCTGGACACCGCTGCCACCGGGGCCTCTGAATGCATAATGATCAAGTTCATAATAAACCTCAAAATTTACCTATAAGAAGTTTTATGTTTTTTTCTTTAATTTCTTTTCAAGGCTGTTTTAATTTAATTTCCTTTTACCTTATTTCGTGTATTTTCTTGGATTAATTACTACATTGCAATAGTGCATACAGACTGTCTCTCGACCAGAAATCCAAACAGCTGTTTTTAAATTGTACCACTAGAGGGCAGAAGAACTCCACAATAAGGTTGGGTGTCGTCACTGATTTCTATAATAGATTCAATTTCGGTTCACAAGGTTCCGATTTGATTCGATCCACGATTTGATTCGATTTGAATGGGGGAAATTTTGCGTCAGACAGTCAAAAATATTATAACTCTGATCATTTATCAGTACTGGCACTTGTGACACTTCATCAGAGGTGTGAGCATCACAGCAGATGCCTTTGTGTCAAAGTAACTGAGGATAAAACACAGAAAAACATGAAGGAGATTTTCCTGGCCTGGCTTTTTATAGCAGATAACCTTAAAAATATTCTGCAGTAGATCATAAACTGAAGAAAACCTTGAATCAACATATGAACATTACCTGATGCTGCGGAAGTGAAGCAATGCAAAGTTACAGAGGTGTTTTTTGAGACCAGTGTTGGGAC